TTTACTTGAACATTTAAAAAGCAAGCACTTGTTACTTTGTCTACGTGTGAAGCGGAGTATGTGGTTGCAAATTCTACAGTGTGTCATGATATTTGGTTGAGGAACTTGTTAAATTATTTGGGATTTTCTCAAGAAATTTTCAAAAAGATCCTATTAATAATAGATCGGCAATGGCGTTGGCAAAGAACTCGGTGTTCCATGAGAGGAGTAAACACATTGACATGCGCTACCAATTTGTTAGAGAGCATGTGAAGAATGAAAAGATTAAGTTGTTGACATTTTTACAAGGCCATTAAAGCATAATGTGTTTGGAAGATTGAAAATGATGCTAGGCATGAGAATCCGAGGAATTGAGTTTAAGGGGGATGTTAGTTTTATAAACCCATTTCTTTAAAGGGTAGTTTTTGTATTTTACTTTTGGGCTTATGATGTAATATTGAAAAGATATATTGTTGAAGGAGCAGCCATTAGAAGAGTCCAGATTCACGAGGAAGTATTGTTCGTGCACAACAGCATGGAAAGTCGAACCGACGAAGGCTGTTCACCTGTTCACTGAAGTCAGTTTACAACATGAAAAATAAAATATAAAAGGCGAAGATTTGGTGTCCAAAATAAAGATGGTTTTGTCCAGAAAAAAACAGAGTAAAAAAGAGAGGTGTTAGAAGAAAAATTAGAGGGGAAACAGGGAGTTGTTGTCCAGAAACGCAACAAGTATCTCTTGAGCAGAAGCTCTGTTTGTGAGTTTTTTGATAGCCTACTTTGTGTTTTTCTCATTGAAAAATCAGATTAGTCTTTCCCTTTATATTACTTGATATTGTGATCATTTTTGATGAAATATAGAGGTGTTTTTTGAGTGAAATTGGTGTGATAGTGTAGCAGATTTTCATCCTTGTTTTACCTGATTTTGTGTTTCTTTGGTGATCTAATTTGTTTTCAATACCCAACATATACTTGAACCAAACCAAAACCAAAAGAACAATGTAGCAATATACACAGAGAAAGAGAGATATAGAGAGAAAGGGAGAGAGAATTAGTTCTGAAACTGAAATACATAATTGGGATGGATTGAAATAACAATGGAACAATCTATTTATAGACCCTTAGTGGTTGTTCAGATCGCTTGAAGAGACATGAGATGTCACTGTTTAGATCGAAGATCGAAGAGACACATTTCTTAATTTGAACATGCAAAGGCCCCAAAGGCACCTTTGGAGTGAACACAATCTTTTTCAATTTTAATTATGATTCGCATTTGAATCCGATTGGTTTGACCCATGACCCACCCCGCTCCAAATAAATTTTTTCCAAAAAAAATTATATCTTTTTGGCCTTAGCCCGGCTTGGTTGGGTCAGGGCATAGCAAGGCGGGCGGCGCGCGCGTATGGTAACCAAGATAGCATAGGCGCTNAAAAATTATATCTTTTTGGCCTTAGCCCGGCTTGGTTGGGTCAGGGCATAGCAAGGCGGGCGGCGCGCGCGTATGGTAACCAAGATAGCATAGGCGCTTGTTCCGTTCACAAAAGTGTAATACCCCTTGGGGTCCAACTCATAAAACTAACTAGAAGTATATTAACTCACCAAAGCATAAATCTTCCTCCAATGAAGGACAAGTCTTATTCCACTATAGAAATCTTAATTTATTTCATCACTTTAAATGGGTTACTTTAAGACATAATTTCTCATTTAATATTTAATGGTTTTAGACAAATAAATATATGATGTTCATCTCCTCGCAGAGGAGAATGTATTTAAAATTGGTCTCACCAATTTCGAGGTGGGGTTCCTTTTTTATTTAAGCCTAAAGTTTCTTAAATAATCTTGTTTAAAACCATTTTTTCCAAGTAGAAAACTTGGCTAACGACCCAACTGTTTGATCATGTGAATGATTGCCTACAAAATATATCTCCCGACCAAATAGGTTTTGAATGTCATTTTTTCCTGGTTGGAGCTACAATGCTGCATTGTTTTTTTTAATTTATTTTTCGGATAAATAAAGGATTGTATAGATATCAAGTAGAACTTTACAATAGCACTACTTCATATAAGCGATGGAGTATGCAAAGGAAGCACCAGACAAAAAAAAAGACCATAAGCAAACAAGGCAAAAAAGGATAATCAGTAGAAATACTTGGTGCATGCAGTACTTCCACTGATTATCCTTATCACAACAACAACTTCAATTTCATTGCAAATTCACAAAAAGCCTACAAGGCAAAGGAAAGACTCATGAGTCATGAACTAGGACCTGCCATACTTGTAGGATGCTGCTATTTTGGGTTGTCCTTGTGCAATTACGCACCATATCTATGATTCCTTGTGTAATTACATTCAGACTCCTTGAATCATTTCTAAAAACTCTGTTGTTTCGTTCTCCCCAAATCTCATAAATAGTGACAGAGAAACATAGTTTCAGCACAACGGTTTTGAGTGATTTTCCCCTACATTCTTCAGTTACCTTATGAATAAGTTGTTGCCATGGAGAAGGGGCCCAAGAAAGTCCACATTTTTTCAACAGCTGGTTCCAGATAGTTGCAGATATTGGGCAAGTAAAGAAGAGGTGTTGATGATCTTCAATATGACTTCTGGACAGTAAACATGGAGGCTCTAAATGGTACATGTAGTGTTGCATTTTGTTTTTAGTACTCAGTTTCTCCAAGATAGCCATCCAAAGGATAAAGCTAGCTCTCAAAGTTGATTGGCCAAACCATACAATCTTATGCAAATTTTGTAGAGTACACTAGGATCAACAGTCCATTTCACCTTATCATTGGCCTGGGAGTTGGGCATATAGGTTAGCATTGAGATCTGGACATCCAAGGCTTCACAAGGAAGATTGTTGGACCACTTCCATTGGTTCATGGTAATTACATTTTCCACTTTAGCATCCACATCAAGTCCCAAGGCCTCCGAAGATATATTTGGTCACTTAAGGTGTAAAAGGGGGGGTGCCAATTATCAAACCAGAGATTTGTAGTCCTTCCATCACCAATATTATGTTTGATCAAAGGCCAAGCCATCTCTCTTAGTCTCATGATCTTCCTCCAATTCCATGAGCACACTTGTGGAATCTTAAGTCCCCATAAGCTACTACCTTTAAGATAGTTTATACATACCCACTCAACACATAAATTAACTCTATCATTGAAAATAAACCAGATGTACCTCATCATCAGTGCTTTGTTCTAGTCTTGCAACTTCTTGAACCCCAGACCTCTTTCATTCTTAGGTTTAGTCACCTTTGCCCAAGCAACCTTAGTATCCCTAAACTTAAAGCTCAATGCCACTCCACAAGAATGACCTTAACAACTGCTCAATTCTTCTAAGAATGCCCTTTGATAGGGATTAATTACGTTGGCTAGAGTGTTAAATATATCAATTTACCTGGGCTTTGGTTTGATCCTACTTATGGAACGTTTGTTTTCATTCTACAGGTAAATAAGAAGAATTGGAGGAGAAATCATGAATTGAAGGGTAAGTGTTAGGAGTCAGGGAAGGAAGAGGTTATTGTTTAACGTGTCCAGACAGAGGCTGCATTTGAGCCCAAATGGCACGTCCAAAATAGGCTTGTGGGGGTATGAAGATTTTGAGGATTGGGAAGTATACTATTTATTGCGTCCATACGGGTACTTGTCTTGCGTCCAGATGCATGTTATTACTGAGCTTGGCGTTGTAACCCAGTTGGAGTGGTTTCTTAGATATAAATAGGAAAATAGTTACTAGGTTTAGGGGTGGATTATTTTTATTTTTTTATGGTATTTGCAACTATGTCCGGCTAAACAACCCAACTAAAGTTAGGGGAGAAGCTTTAAATGAAATACATGACTTTTAATCCAAGAGTTTAATTGTTGGTGTTATTCTGCTAATTTAACTTTTGCCCCTCTAGTGAAGTTTTTTCTTTGTAAAAGTTCTTGATTCATTGTGCCATGTACATCGGATTGCTTGAATTTTCCTGCAAGTCAAATAACTGAGTTTTTCACACTTGAGTTAATTAATATGATTTTCATAAGATTATCAGATGATTATGTGGATAAGTCTAGAATTAATTTGCTAGAAAGTTTGATTCACCGTAAACTCCAGGTACAATGAATGCTTGCGATCTGCCGATGAATTTTTGGGCTTATTCAGATAGAATTTTGGTTATAAATATTGGTCTTTTCATATCCTTATTGCTAAATATTCTAATTGGGATCACTTCTCAGTTGATTGTCAATTGAGTTTGAAAACTGGATTTTTAATAGATGTCATATGGGTTTGAAAGGTTATCATCAGCGCTTTAGTATTCTAATTATTATTTTATTCAATTCATTATAGTTTTGATAAGTGGAATATCTTTTCAAGAGAATTTTTACACAGTTTTCTTTTATTGGATTTGATCTGTGTTTCTTATTTTCATAATTCTCTTAGGGTTTGACTTCGGATTCACGAGAATATATTACTTCACACAACCTATGCTTGGGTATACAATATTGAAGTTGTAGCACTATTGTTTCACCAAGTAAAGAAGGCTCCAGTGAACCTGAGATCAATCAGTTTAGAAGCCTGAATGCAATTATTAAATTCCACCATGGCTTGGTTCCATTCTTCCTTCCTCTCATTGTTTCTTGTAGGCTTGTGATTGCATTAAAATACCCTAGAATAGCCTACGGCTCATAGGGGATTGCCTTTGCGTGTTGAACAATGCTATGTCGTAAAGGTGTCCTATCTTTTTCCTCATTTGCACCATATATAAATGAAAAAAAAAGCAATTTTGCTCTCCAACTGAAAAATAGAGCAATGTATAACCTGGTCATTTTCTTGAATCTTTGTGACTCTTATTACTTGAGGGTTCCATCCAATCCAAATCCTCCCATATGGATGACTTTGGTAGTACATTTATTCTGGTCTAGACAATTCCCAACAAATCCAATTGTTGTTCCAAAATAAATTTTCTCAACTCCTCTTGCCTGATGGGGTCATTTAAGCCCCTAATATTCCAGCATGCAAACTTAATCATAAAAAGGTTAATGAGATGTTTCATACTGGGATGGTGCTATCCCAGAATCCCTTTTCTTTCCCATAATAGGAGGATGTTTCTTTTGTTTTTTCTTCTTCTTTTTATTGCCTGCTTGCTCATCAGGTTCAGTATCGTTAATTCTAACTTCAGAATTTTCACTATCCAGGTTATTAATAACTAGACTGAGATCATCCTACTACTTCTCTACTAGTGTATTAGATCTATTATTGGTAGTGATAGACACACTTACTTGTTCTCTATCCAAATGCATACCAGTTGTAGATGCAGGTGCCTGATCAGCATTACTATTATTGTCCATTGCTTGTTGATTATCCATCCCTACTATGCCATCACTCAAACGGACCTCACTGCTTTCATGTACATTTATAGCCTCCACTAGTTGAGTGTCGTTTGCACCATCTAAAGCATTTTCTTTCCCCTGCTTGAGTCTAGATGCTTTTACTTGGTTCCAATTCTCTTCATTGCCAAGCTTCTGTTGTGGGTGATTATTAGAGGCAGATTTAGGGCAAGTGGACTGGTTGCATCCAAAGATTTGGCATGTTTTACAGAGCCTAGGTTTCCATAGGTATTCCACAACTATTTCAATGATATACTCCATATCTCCACCCTTATCATTGAGATCAAAGGAATCAACTAACTCTTGAGTTACATTCAATTTCACACATACTCTAGCATAGCTGATCCTCTTCTTGGTTTCAGTTATCATATCAACATAAAGGGACTCGCCAACAGCACTTGTTGCATAGCTCAGGCCCTCCTCTGTCGAACATTCTAGGAGCAAGTCGTATAAATTCACCTAAAGAGGTACTTTTGTGTGGGAGTCCTCTGTCAACTCCATCCTAGGCTGCCACTACTTTAGAATTAAAGGCCTTCCAGAAAGGATCCAAGGCCCAGCCTCAACTACTTTAGTACATTATACTTCATTAGAGAATTTGAAGAAAAAGAATCCCTTATCATTGGCTAGGATGTCTATCAATCCCATGTGGCTCCACATCTTGCGTGCAATTGTTTTCACAGCCATAAAATGGAGCCTTTTCTCAATAAAATAGCCAATCAGGCAATTTTCCCATTCCCCACAACCCATCTGCGCAATTTCTTTTGGAGGAGAAACAACTACTCTATCCTCCTTCCTAGTTGGTTTCGGAAACTTTAGCTTTATAAAGGCCCTAGGAGCATTATTGTAATGATCCAAACCATTAGAATTACCCCCATTACCTTGTTTAAGTATCTGACTCCAGTTGGGATGCTGAGTAGCTCCATCTCTTGGGTTGCTTTCACTATCTTTATCCTGATTTGTTATATCAACCTAATTAGCAAGGTTGTCACTAGCCACATAGTTCCTTTTTGTTGTTTCATTGCTGAAGATGACCTTCTCACTCAGCTTCATGTTTGTTTGCACATGGGAAGCCTGATTCTCCCTCCTTGCCATCTGTTCCATAGGAGGCATGAGCAGGGAACTCAATTTCAAGGAACCCTTCTTCTTGGCAATGGATGAGCCTTTCGGATGAGCCCACTTTTATTTTTTCCACTAGTTCTCGCAAATTTCAAATCAGCATTTTAGGACTGAGGATATGCATTAAGCTTGCTAGCCTCCTTCATAGGGCTTTTTATGACCACCTCTAGATCATTGATAGGGATAGACCCTTTATTCATGACTAGGTTATGTTAGATAGCTTATCTAAAGCAGGGCTGAAAAGGGGAGCTCTTTGATTTGGCAAAGGTAAAGATGGGTAAAAAAAAGCCAGTGCATCATCATAACACAGCAAAGATGATTCATAATAATACTTCATATTGGCTAAAATTCTTGTAGAGTCGCAATCTGCAGCATCAGTCAAATATTTTGCCAGTTTGCATGCCCCAAGTTTGTTTAGGTTTATAAATGTCTCTGCAAAGTTCAAGGTTAGGCTCTTTTATCAGGCCAGATGATACGGAGATTCAATTAGGAAATGGTGATTCCACTGCTGCAACCATTATTTTAATCCAAGGTATGAAAGTGATGGGACTTTTATGAAATACTCCATGATGAAGACACGTGTCCTCGGTATTTACCAAAATATTGTTACTAAGATCAAGCACCATCGGCGCGCAAAGGTCCTCGCCCCCGAGGTACTCGTCATATAGGATCATGACATTCAGTATGTTTTACAACCGACACGTAGCCTCGTCTGATATGGTACCTCGGTCGGTATACCTCCCTCGGGTCCGAGATGAGCCTTTCCTCGGTGCCGAGAGGTACCCCGTCCTGGACGCCTCCTCTACTCCAGGATAAGCTATTGACGTACAGGTCATTAGCCTAGGCTAGTCTAGGCTATTCATCATGACCTCGTCTTACACAATTAGTGTCAGAACGTACTGGAATGCAGGGGCCACAGCCAATGGGGGATGGACGCGTGGCGTATGATATCACATCGAAGACAGAGAAACTGCATGCCGTTGCTGACACGCGACTTGGGAAAACAAACGATTAATTACACCATTCCCTTGATGAGACCGCATTCAATGCGGTAAGGCTCGGAAATGAAAGGCAATAAATGCTCCTAATACAGAGCATTTATTGCATCCTCCCCGAGAGGAGTACATTGTACCGTCGGCATCCCGATGACCCAGCATTGATTGCTCGGGACCCCGAGCAGTTAAGAAGAGAAGACATTCCTCATTAGAATCAATGCGCACACTGCCTGTACCTAATGATCACCTATTGACTACACTAACAGCAATCATGAGCTTTTGAGGTATAAATACTCCTTGTAAAAGGCAAGACGGGTATGCAAAACAAAAAACCCTTGACTACAATACACACTCAGTGTTTTCTCCTTCCTCTCTCTTTCTCAAAGACTGACTAGATCGTCGGAGGGGATACGCCGGAAAACACTCCGGCGCCCTTCTAACTTGTTCTTCTTTGTTCCAGGAACCTCTTTCAGCCTTACTGGATCGTTCTTCCGCTCCCCCAGGGTCTCCCGTTGCCGTTCCAGGTTACCACCGGACCTCGCAGGCTGTTCCAAGCAGCGTGGTTGGTCACTCAACTGGNCCAGGGTCTCCCTTTGCCGTTCCAGGTTACCACCAGACCTCATAGGCTGTTCCAAGCAGCGTGGTTGGTAACTCAACTGGCTCACTCGAGTTCACCAAGGGAGAGATCTGTTCTCATTTTTTATATTGTGCAGGATCTTGCACGCACAATCTGGCGCCGTCTGTGGGAAACGACTAGTTTTCCTAGTTTTTTCTCTATAAAGAACAGTGACCATGGTGAACACTCGACAGAAAGGGAAAGGCCCCCACCAAAGGAGTCTAGAGTTACAAGCTACCTGTCATCACGGAGGAAGGGATCACACCGATATGAATAAAAATGTCTCTACTCGGTCAAGAGGGGTTACCCCTCAAACCAGTATGGGAATCAGGTCAGGGGGATCAGCCCCCTTGGCTCGTCAGCTGGCGGAGGTGATTGAAGAAAAGTTCGGCAATAGATTACTACAGCTGGAAAAGGACAATGTAAACGTCCTAAGCTGGCTCAACGAGTTTGCCGCCTCTGGCGAAGGATCGAGGGATTCATTCCTTTCTCGTGGGCTTCCCGCCCGGGAGGCGGAAACGAAGGATCTAAGAAACCACCTAAACAACAAAGCAGAAAGCTCTAGGGCCCCAAAGCGACCCAGAGCCGGCGAGCATCATCATGACAACCATTCAAGGAAAGCAAGGCCATTGGCCCTGGACGACCTCCGGCGAGGTTTGTCTAGACGGAGGAAGGGAGATGAATCCGAGGAGGACTCAACCCNATCGGCGAGCATCATCATGACAACCATTCAAGGAAAGCAAGGTCATTGGCCCTGGACGACCTCCGGCGAGGTTTGTCTAGACGGAGGAAGGGAGATGAATCCGAGGAGGACTCAACCCAATCCACACGACGCCCAGGAAATGAGGGGCTTACCGATGAACTCAAGGACTTCAGAAGGCATCCCGTCAGGGAAGAAATTGATCTCAGAGCCCGGTTAGACTCCAGGAGAAAGGGTAAGGCTGTCCAGGATGAGGCCGAGGACGAAGTCATACAAACACCCTTTACAAGGGAGATCGGTGAGATAGAGGTTTCAAGAAAGTTTGTCGTGCAACGGTTCAAAACTTATGACGGGCGGTCCGATCCCGAAGCCCATGTCAGGCAATACAAGCAGATGATGTCCCTCTATCATTCGGACCAACGGTTTCTCTGCCGAGTGTTTCCTATGAGCTTGGGGGACTCTGCGATGAAGTGGTTCGAGGCGCTTCCCCCCAACAGTATTGGGTCCTGGAAGGAATTGACTAAGCAGTTCCTGGCTCGATTCATTACGGGGAGTAAGCGCCCCAAAGACATTGGATCATTGCTGACCCTCAGACGGAGGGAATCCGAGACTCTTCGCCAGTACGCCATCTGATACTAGGAAGAGGTTAATGAGGTAGAAGGCTGCTCAGTGGTCATGGCAGCAGCATCTTTCTGGCTCGGCTTGGCAAGGGACACGGACCTATATCGATCCCTGACCAAGAAGACCCCCTCGGATATGGGGGAACTAATAGCCCGGATAAATAAATACTCGAGGATTGAGGACGAGATGGGAAGCAGCAAAGGCCTAGCCCTCCAATCTAAGAGAAAAGAGAAGGAGCGGGAAGATATTCCCCGAAAGGGATTGCTACCCCCTCCAGGGGGTTCGTCCAAAGGAGTTCACACTGTGTTCAAGGAACCCATCTTCAAGTTGCTCCATAAAATCAAGCACGATCCGTTCTTCAAATGGCCACCTAGGATGCAGAGCGACCCCTCCACCCGTGATCAAAATGTTAGGTGTTCCTATCACCGGGATTTCGGGCATCACACCGAAAGCTGCCGGGTGTTCAAATCATTCTTGGAAAGATTGGTCCAAGACGGATATTTGAAAGAGTACATAGAGCCCAGGCCAGAAGAGAGACGAGCCCTTGCCCCGACCGAGGAGCCGGACAACATCATAGATGTCATCCATATATGTCCCCTGGATCGCCCCACGTCCAAGGAACTCGAGTCCGACCTCAAGAGGGTAGCTTTTACAAGGAAGGTAGCCGAGGTTGATGTAGGGCCACCAAGTAAAAGGGCCAGGACGGGTGAGCTTGACATTACATTCTCCGACACGGATTTGACAGGCGTAATGACTCCTCATAACGACGCCCTTATCTTGACCCTGAGGATAGGAAAATTCGACGTCAAAAGGATTTTGATAGACTCTGGAAGTTCCTTGGAGGTGATGTACTCCGAAACTTTAAAACGGATGGGTCTTGGCCCCAAAGACCTCACCAAAGTCAGGACACCCCTCATCGGATTCAACGGCTCGTTCGCCCTGCCCGTGGGGAAAATCACATTGTCAGTTGTCACAGGTCCCTTTGTCATCGACACCGAGTTTGTCGTGATCGATACGGACTCTCCCTACAACGTAATTATGGGGCGAACATTGTTGCATGCGTTGGGAGCGGTGCATTCCACTTTCCACTAGAAATTAAAATTCGTAACGCCAGAGGGTATTATGGAGATCCGGGGGGACCAAGCGTCCGCGAAAAATTATTTTTATTCAGCCGTTCGAGCCGGGGCGTTCAGCCAGGAGAAGGGACGAGCACCGGAAGAGATTATGGAAAAATAGCAATTACAGTCCGGGCGTCCAGGAATGGATGACCCCCGGATAGACCCAACTGAGCGGTCGGTAGAAGACCTCCGGAAGGTGCCCTTGGTAGAGGGAGAAGAAGAAAGGTATTTCTTGGTTGGGACCTCGATGCCCACAGCCGAACAGGAGGAGATGATCGAGTTCCTAAGGGGAAATACAGATGTGTTCGCATGGAACGAAATGAAAATGACGGGGGTAGACCCCAAGATAATCACACACAGGCTGCATGTTGACCCGTCGCACAAGCCAGTCAAACAGAGGCCACGACGCATGGCCCTGCATCACACCAGCGCGGTCAACGAGGAAATCGACAAACTCCTGAAGGCCGACGTCATTCGAGAGATACAGTTCCCAGAATGGCTGTCTAATACGGTGTGTGCAAAGAAGAAAGGGGGGAAATGGCGTGTCTGCGTAGACTTTACAGATCTAAACAAGGCATGTCCCAAGGACGACTACCCCCTGCCAAAGGTGGACCAGCTGGTAGATGCCACTGCCGGATATGAACGAATGGACTTCCTGGATGCCCGAGCAGGATATCATCAGATCCCTCTCTATCCCCCGGATCAGGAAAAGACGGCGTTTATCACTCCGAAGGGAGTTTACTGTTACAAAGTGATG